TATATTTTCTATAATGTTAAATGTATTTGCATCTTCTTCATGTTCATACCCAACACAACAGAACTATTAAATATCAGAAGTCTGGAATTTATAATATTTCCACATCAATACGACAAACATGAACATTTTGTAAATAATTCAATTTATACGGAAACACATTTCACACACAAAATAATCTGACATTTGAACAGGGGGTTTTCTATCGTATTTAATTATGCGTCATTAATTGCTTTAACATTCATCTTGTGCATAAAAATAATTCATTACAAAATGTATAAACTATTCAATGGTTAAAATGTTTCAAATTACGGCAAAAACTAATATAACGCGTATTTTTTCGGAGGGGGGGGGGTGTGTGAGGGTGTGTGTGTGTGTGTGTTATGAATCTATTTTCATCAGTTGATTTTTTTGTCGTTGAATAGCATTCCTTACATATATCTTGTACCAATACATATGTTTAATAAACAGAGAATGACAATTAAAGCTAATTATAAAAGGCGACATATTCTTTCTTATTTTTTTTTTAAATTATTAAAATTTCCTTTGAATTCAACATGCCTCCAACGTTTTAGCAAAGACAATGATGTTCTCAGCAACATAGCTTGTGAGAGAAAATAACTGTTGATCATTTAATTTCGGGGACGAAAGTGAATAGCTGCTTACATTAATTATTCCTTGTCCGGACTATCTCGGTCAAGCGAAAATTAACCTCGAATGTGTTATGCATGTGTCCAAGAGAAACATCCCTCCCCTTAAATTTCAAAATAATCAAATTAAATGTAAAATGTTATTGTAGAGTTTTGTGCTAAACGTCATTGAATGGTATATATTCATTGCATGATAAAGAGAGAAGATCTATTCATCTAATAAAAATCATATTGATTCCCTATTTTGCCCTCTTGAGTGAATAGAATTCTTCATATCTCCAAAACATTCATGCAATAATTGTTTATATACCGAAACAATATGAGGTTAAAATAGAAACCTGTTACTTTTTACCACATTCGACAAGTTTTAAAAATAACTAAACTTCATGTTTATTTTTTAACACATTTTTCACCATAGATGAAAAATAACAAAAAGTGATAACCATGAGTAATAAGTATCACAGATTACAGAAAAGACAGGGAATTATGAAGTTTTAGTTCCCTGTCAAGTGACGTACTGTCTAGAATCAATCAGATAACGTATTTTAGCATATATTATAATGAGGTTTAAAGCGATATAACCTAAAATAAACTACAGACTCTGAAGGGAAAATCTACCCTGTCTATCCAATACTATAATAATAATAAAAGAAAGTGTCTCCAATCTGTATGGATGATTAATTAAAAACAATGCAGCTCAAGACTTAAGCTAAGACGCGATTGAACACTCCACTTCAGTTTGTTCATATGTATAAAAAGTAAAAACAGTATATGTGAAAACTTTAAAATATAATTCATATTTGAATATTAGCTCTATATTGAGAATGTATATTAAGCACATGGGAAGATGTGCGAATTGGATTTTTTAAATTTATTTATATGAACCAAAGCCCCCCCCCCCCCCCCCCCCCCCCCCACGAGCTAAACGAAAATCCTTTTAACAAGACATCTCGTTTTCAATTTCCACACAAACATACACAGGTAAAATAACCTCGCTTGCATCAATCAAAATGCAACCAAAACATTGGCGGGTTCTTTGAATGAAAATTTTCATGGTAAACTGACATTTAAATATTTTCTTTAAAAAATACGCACCTCCCCCTTTCCCCACGGGAATTGCAGGACTGTATACATACACCATAGGAGGAACTGTTGATTTTACTAAAGATTCTTTACCTTTATCAATATACACTGTATTAATTATGTCCCCGGATCGAAAGATCCCGGGGGCATATTGTTTTTGTCCTGTCTGTTTGTCTGTTTGTCTATCTGTCTGTTGTCAACTTTAACCTTGCCCATAACTTTTGATTGGTTGGAGCTATGACTTTCATATTTCACATGTGTATTCCTTGTGACAAGACCTTTCTTTGGGTACCATCATATTTGACCTTTTGACCTTGACCTTGGAGTTTGACCCACTTTTGCAAAATTTTATGAGACTTTAACCTTGGCCATAACTTCTGAACAGTTGGAGCTTGGGGTTTCAAACTTCACATGTGTATTCTTTGTGACAAGGCCTTCTTTTGGATACCAACCACTATGACCTTTTGACCTTGACCTTGGACTTTGACTTACTTTTGAAAAACTTTAACCTTGGCCATAACTTTTGAACAGTTGGTGCTTAGGGTTTCAAACTTCACATGTGTATTCCTTGTGACAAGACCTTCCTCTAGAAATCAACCACTTTGACCCTTTTGACCTTGACCTAGGAGTTTGACCTACTTTTGAAAAACTTTAACCTTGGCCATAACTTTTGAATGGTTGGTGCTAGGGCTTTCATACTTCACATATGTAATCCTTGTGACAAGACCTTCCTTTGGATACCAACCACTTTGACCCTTTGACCTTGAACTAGGAGTTTGACCTACTTTTGAAAAACTTTAACCTTGGCCATAACTTTTGAATGGTTGGTGCTAGGGCTTTCATACTTCACATATGTAATCCTTGTGACAAGATCTTCCTTTGGATACCAACCACTTTGACCTTTTGACCTTGACGTTTGACTTTTATTTAAAAAAACTTTAACCTTCACCATAACTTTTGAACAGTTGTATCTAGGACTTTCAAATTCCACAGGTGTTTTCCTCGAGACAAGATCTTTCTTTGGGTATCAACATTTTTTATCTTTTGGCCTGGATTTTGACTTGCATTTGAGAAACTTTAACCTTCGACATAAGCTGCCATACGGGGGCATAGTGTTTCACAAACACATCTTGTTTTTAAAAATGTATTTAAGTTTACATGCATGTACACATGTAGATATTAAATTTATTTCATTTTATATCATTTTTATGCCCCCGGATCGAAAGATCCCGGGGGTATATTGTTTTTGTCCTGTCTGTCTGTTTGTCTGTTTGTCTGTTTATCTGTTTGTCTGTTTGTCTGTTTGTCTGTCTGTCTGTTGTCAACTTTAACCTTGCCCATAACTTTTGATTGGTTGGAGCTATGACTTTCATATTTCACATTTGTATTCCTTGTGACAAGACCTTTCTTTGGGTACCATCATATTTGACCTTTTGACCTTGACCTTGGAGTTTGACCCACTTTTGCAAAATTTTATGAGAATTTAACCTTGGCCATAACTTCTGAAAAGTTGGTGCTTGGGATTTCAAACTTCACACATGTATTTTTTTTGTGACAAGGCCTTCCTTTGGATACCAACAACTTTGACCTTTTGACCTTGACCTTGGAGTTTGACCTACTTTTGAAAAACTTTAACCTTGGCCATAACTTTTGAATGGTTGGAGCTAGGGCTTTCATACTTCACATATGTAATCCTTGCGACAAGACCTTCCTTTGGATACCAACCACCACTTTGACCTTTTGACCTTGACCTAGAAGTTTGACCTACTTTTGAAAAACTTTAACCTTGGCCATAACTTTTGAATGTTTGATGCTAGGGCTTTCATACTTCACATATGTAATCCTAGTGACAAGACCTTCCTTTGGATACCAACCACTTTGACCCTTTGACTTTGACCTAGGAGTTTGACCTACTTTTGAAAAACTTTAACCTTGGCCATAACTTTTGAATGGTTGGTGCTAGGGCTTTCATACTTCACATATGTAATCCTTGTGACAAGATCTTCCTTTGGATACCAGCCACTTTGACCTTGACCTTGACGTTTGACTTTTATTTAAAAAACTTTAACCTTCGCCATAACTTTTGAACAGTTGTATCTAGGTCTTTCAAATTTCACAGGTGTATTCCTCGAGACAAGACTTTTCTTTGGGTATCAACATTTTTTATCTTTTGGCCTGGATTTTGACTTGCATTTGAAAAAACTTTCACCTTCGCCATAAGCTGCCATACGGGGGCATCAGTGTTTCACAAACACATCTTGTTCAACCTGCTTTCCATTTGTTGTTTTTTTATGTTTGTTTGTTTGTTTTTATTTTATTTTTTTTCCCTTACGAAAACGTCAGTATTCTATATCGATGAGAAATACATGTACTTACGAACTGAGGAATAATTTAAATTTAAATATTTTGAAGTAAAAAATACATAACACAGCGTTAGTCGTTAAATTTCTTCAAAGTTTTACATTTTGTGAATAATGCACAGGTTAAGAAATTAAGCTTGGGGAATAATTTATAGGGAAATAAACACAGACGACATGTAGTTATTTGTTTTTAGAACTTGTACTGAAAAATAATGACGCCACCGTGCCTTCTTTGCTACCCCAGCAGTGTTTGTCGTGTGATTTTAAACTTGTCAGACAACCATTTAAATTGAGTTCAATAAAAATAAACTCCCAAGATACTGATGTACAAGTAACACTAACTGACACAATGCGCCGTTGCCTTATTTTTCTGTTTTTACAGAAAGTTGCACGGTATACCCGATTTCGCGGATTCAACGATACCCTGATATCAAGGACTATACGCGATTTCACGGATAATACCCGATTTCGAGTATTCTCTCCAACCTGTTCAAGTCAAAATTTTCTCATCGCCCAGGCGTTGTCGTTAGAGCTCGCAGTTCGCGCCACTCGCTGTGCTCGATTTAAATTTGAAAGCTTTTGATTATTAAAAATTTTATCGCAGTTGAGGCATTAATTTGAATCAACGCTTGTAAAATTTTTTTAATATAAATATTCATACAGAAATATTTTGTAAACTGAGAAAAAAATTGTCAAATATTGAATTGATTCAGCTTTATCCAAGGTTACCGATTTGCAGCCACACAACATTAAAGCTAAACATCTACGCCTATCCCTTCCGACAACTAAACGATTTAAAGTCTGTCAAATAATTTTTTACCAAGATTTAAATGACCTTATTATCTTGAAATACTAACCTAAAAATATAAAAGACGTCCATGAATGCACATGACTAATGTACGTAATAACCTGAAAATCAAGCTTTAAAGATGCGTATTTATTTCAGATGTTTGATTGTCCAATTTGTCGGTATGGATATTTCTGCAGGATACGGTTTGTATGACTCATTCTCATCTCAAATAGAATATCTTTAGTTTTGCTCCTTTCGTTTCACTTAATTTCAAACATCAATGAACAGTCATGTGCACGAAGACCAGGAAGTTTATTTCATGGCGACAGGGTTAAAAGGGGGTGGGAAAAATAGAACTACAACGGTAACAATTTACAACTGCACATTTTCAGAAATTTTATTTTAAATTCAGATAGAATTTTATTTTTTAATGAATTACTTTTGACAATCATCAATATTCATTAAGTATTATTGGAAAGAATATCACATCTGAAAAGCTATTGTGAAAGCTTTTTGATTGTTGGGAAAAGTACCAGGAATATGTACCAGATTTATTAATCAAATTAAAACTGATTATTTAATCGGAGAGGTTCTTGAATGTGCAGAATATAACACAAAGCACCAAATTATAACTTTACTTACTAGCTGATGGATGAAATATACGTAAATTGCAGGAAACACTACAGAAGCTTAGTTATATTTAGAGTACTTTCTTTCGTTTGTAAGGGATTTATTGTACAGAGAGGCGTGGCAGTCGAGTCGCGCAGCGACGAGAATGTCACGCCTCTCTGTACAATAAATTCCTTACAAACGAAAGAAAGTACTGTAAATGTCTTGTGTCATGGTCATTTGCATAGTCACTCCTTCAGCACCAAACTGCACGCGACATTACGTCATAGGCCTAGGTCCATCGTAAGTGTACAGGGTGTTCAAACAAAGCAAAAGTACGTAAGAGATGGTTGCATTGAAAAATCAAGCAATGCTAAACGAGTGTGCAATTGTATTTGATGGATTAATTTAAGCAGTATGAGTATTTCAAAAACCATAACAAATACAGGCACAATACTGGAAACTTGGATCCACCCGCACTATGACCCGCTACATTACTGTTACTATGGATACGCTTGCATGTCCTGAGGAAATCCGAGTCAAGTACTCTAGCCACAGGTATCAAAATTATGGAATGTAGTGTGAAATAGTCCAAATACATGTATATACGAACATGTATCAGTTTGCATGTAACTCAAAGAACTCAGAAAACAGTTCCTATTAAGGGAATCAAACTGTGCGTTTTCAATATTGTTAGATTTCAATTATCTGTTTTAATTTGAATACAGGTATTTCATGAAATTCTGTGTATTTTTTAAATTTTTGTTTAAATTAGTTAACTAATGAGTTTACATGTATTAATCCTCTTGAAAATGGTTTTCACGTACAAGCATTTTCAGATTGAAGGGGGGGGGGGTTGAATTTTGTGAGGTTTCTCATTTTTCCTCTGGATAGGTTGTATATGCTTACAGAAATTGAAGAAAAAATATTCAAAAAGTATTGAATTCTTTTGGAAGTTATTGTACAGTATATTGGAAGTTATTGTACGGCTAAGCTCCGCCCCCTAGAAGTTATAGTACGCTGGAATTCAGCCAAAGGTTTTCTATCTGATTTAAAGTATGGCTAACATCAAAAGAAAAAGTACCGCACCATGACACAAGATAGAATTATGGAGTTGAAAGGAAGGCATTTCTGTCAATATATATATATATATATATATATATATATATATATATATATATATATATATATATATATATATATATATATATATATATATATATATATCTGTGTGTGTGTGTATGTATTTAGCTATGTGCTTGATGAATAAGCAAAAGAGAAGCACCTGAATAGAATATAAATTCCAAATATAATACATTTAAAGTATTGTAACGACACCGGATAAGCGCACTGGTGTATAATTATAAAATAAAAACCAATTTCTTTCTCTCTACTTCCAAATTAAAGGTGAAAGTGAAATAAAGACAAGTCTTGTAAATTTAACAAATAAATGGTTTATTCTGAACACATATTTTATTTCTATGAAACAATAATTCCAAAAATATCCTTAAAACCTAAGTATTCTGTACTTGTTATTGTATTGAGACTGGTAGATTTAACCAGTAATTGAAATAACAACGGATAAAATATCCGTAAAATAATTCTAATAATTGCAGACCGATATATCACGGTAAACAGCTCAGCTGTAAATAAACTTACTTATTTATAACAAACCATGACCAACTCCATCCCAAATATTCTAAAGTCTTTCTCCCAAAGTAAATGTAATAAAATTAACAAACTAAAGTAACGCACCTTTCTACAACCCAAAAGCAGTCAAAATCACTGCTGTGTGCTACAACTCGTGTTTATATACGTAAAATGACATCATGAAACGCGACCAATCAGTAACGTTGCGTAAATTACAACAACCAATGAAAAACATGAAGGGATGCTCTAGTTCCCTCAACAAATTCTCACGCTTACGAGAAAGTAATAAAAATAAAAGAAACATTTATTTTCTAGCCTAACTATTTCTTGTATCATTAAATATCTATACAAGCATTAACAATAAATTATAGTCGCCCGCGTGGCGCAGTGGTTAGAGCGTCTACTCTAGAGTCGCGGAGTAAGGAGTTGATCCTTACGTCGCGGGTTCGAATCCCACTGTGGGACGTGGAGACCGGTCCATCGAATGAGACCGTATAAACCGAGGTCCCGTGTCGCAGTAGGTGCTGGCACGAAAAAGATCCCTCACTGCTCAATGGCCTTAGAGTATAGGACAAAATTGCAGCTCTCCACCGGCAAGTGGTGGCGTCTCCATATGAGTGAAAAATTCTCGAGAGGGACTTTAAACAACATACAAACAAAAAATAAATTATAATTGAAATATAGCGCTCGTTAAACTTCGTAAACACATGGCGCATGGCATTATGGGAGTCGGCCATAACTAAAACAATAGGTACCACGAGTTCCTAACAATAAAGTAAAACAAGTATAAACAGTGGAATTCAGGTAATTATGCATGTATAAAACTAGTCTTTACTTAGTGGACAAATTATTTCACACACCATTTATACTTTAATGACAAAACGATCAAAATACGCATCATAAAACCAACAGCGCAAATCAAACTTTAGGGGGCGATGTCAAAAGCATAAATTATGTACAAGTACATGAGAGTATGAGTATCAACAATAAATACACACGTAGCTATATTCTTACAGTGTTTTTCACTCTTATTTTTTTTCTACTTTGCAAATTGCTGTTTTTTTTTTTTATCTATTAAATTGATTTGAATGCCATTTTTGTGTTTACTCAGTGGTAGAAATATACGCAGAAAAAGTGTTAATATTTGTTTTGTAAAGATGTTTTTTATTAAGCGCGCTTTATGAAATATGCTACATGATAAGTCTGTGTGATTTGCAAACCAATAATACACAAAACTCAGGCCCGTAGCAACGGTTTCAAAAGTAGGGGGAGGGAGGACAACTTCCGAAAAAAATCTGACAAGGAAAAAAATAATAATACTGATCAAAATTATCTGACGAACGCAAAAAAAAGAAACCTCATTAACGTTCCAAATATTTGAATTTGCCTTACAGCAATAAACAAGAGGCCCATGGGCCTCATCGCTCATCTGAGCACATTGGCTAGGAAGAAGCAGAAATCAATTCAGTATTGAACAGTGGGAGGGTGGACTTTAATTTACACTACCTTTCATCTCAATATTACTAATCATAGCTTTGTTGTTGATTCTAAACAGAAGAATTGTAAAGACTTTTTCCTGTTTTCCTATATAAAACTCTGATCGCTTATTGTGGCCCCACCCTATCCACCTAAATTTGAACAAATATGAATCTACACTATCGGAGAATGCTTCTATAATAATATGACTAATCATGGCTTTGCGGTTCTTGAGCAGAATATTTTTTCTTGATGATTCCTATATATTCTTATGCAAACCTTTGACCCTCTGTTGTGTCATAATTTGAACAAACTTGATTCTACAATACCTAAGGTTGCTTCTGTATAAGTATGACTAATAATGGCTTTAGCTGTTCTTGAGAGGAAGATTTTAAAGATATTTCCTAGGTAACGTGAATGATCAGGTTCTGTAAGGGATATATAACTTTTCTTTTTACTCTATCTGAGTTAATGATTGGAATGATTATTAAGACAGCTCTTTCTTAGGGTAAATCACACAGAACTTAAATTTTCTCTTATCTAGAGAATGGGACAAGGCAAAGTATTACATGCACCGTGTTTCTCCCCTTTGTTCCCATTGATATAAGAACTGGATCTCTCAATCTTCTTCAGAGTTACTACGCACAGAACTTAACATCAATTACCTAGGATACTTCTCATTGCTGTTTATAACTTTTATACTTTGATTTTGCTCTAACCCGTAACTTTTTTTTATTGCTGATGCAACGTCCAAATTCTTTAGCTAGCTTCTGAAAGCCTGACTTTCCCAAAGTTCTGCCTTATAAACCCTTTGGTTTGGCTAGTCCATTCCAAGTTTTGTCATGTCATTCCACTATTTGAAGTATTCAATGCGTTTAACTGAAATGCCGCTTAACCATTAAACCTTTATATTCTGTTGTAAAACTCTAACCCACAGTTTTGACCCCCGCCCGGGGGGCATTATTTGAACAAACTTGAATCTACACTACCTGAGGATATTTCTTTATAAATATGACTAATAATGGCTAAGCTTTTCTTGAGAAGAAGATTTTTGAAGATATTTCCTATATATTCCTATGGTGAAATTTGACCCCCTGTTGTAGCCCTGTCCCAGGGTTCATGATTGAAACAAACTTGAATCTACACTACCTGAAGATACTTCTATTATAATATGACTAATAATGGCTTTAGCTGTTTTTGAGAAGAAGATTTTTAAAGACATGTCCCATATATTCCTATGTAAAACTTCGACCCCCTATTGTGGCCCCGTCCTACCCCGGGGTTATAATATAAACAAACTTGAATCTAGAGTATATAATGAAGCGTTCACATAAATTTCATCTTTTCATGCCCAATGGTCCTTGAGAAGAAGATTTTTAAAAGATGCCACCAAATTTTGACGAATTCTTTATCACCCCTTGAAAGAAGGCGTGGTATTTCCTGTGAACAAACTTAAACCCACTTCACCCAAGAATGCTTTTTGTCAAGTTTGGTTGAAATTGGCCCAAGTTTTCTTGTGAAGTCAAAAATGCGAAAAGTTTTACTGTTTACAGACAACAGACGACAAAGTGGGAGGCCATCCAGCACCTACAGGGAAATTTACTACAGCAAAATATTATACTCAGAAAAAGTCCCCCCCCCCCTCCCCCGCGTTCTACCGGCCTGAAACTTAAAAAACAATCCTTAGCTAGAGAACAAATACATTCATTATATTATGCACACAATTCGTCATAATTATCCTATACATTAAATAATTATTAACTAATTTATAATTAAACAGGTAAAAAAATTAACACCAATGACAGCCTTAGATGTTGCGTAGAAATATTCATTATATATTCATAATGCGCTGCAGGAGAGACTTGATTTTGATTAAAAGCTCAGTAAAGCTTGGATTTTATTTCTAATATCAGATCTTCCTTGTACATTATTTTCAGACGATATATCGGCACATAAACCAACAAAACAAGGCCTCGATGATCAAATATTAGATGTGGCCCAAAATGTTGTAGACAGATCTCTATCCACATGTACTACTACTGCTTACTCTAATCCAGCATGGTGGTATGTGGATCTCGAAAAGGTCAAAAGTATTTATGACGTAGAAATTTATTTCAGGCTTTATGATACCAGACTTGGTAAGTAATTAAAATAATTCACTCATATTATCAATAAAATGAAACAAAAATCAAAACTTTCGAACCATTCTGTACTTTGAGAAAATGCGAAAAGAATCTCTCCTAAATCATCATATTAAATAGGAAACAGATTTTTGCTGCTCAGAGCAAAGGCTTATTTTGGAGAAAAATAGCTTGCATCTTGGCGTTCTTGAAGCAGCTGTATTTTTTAGTCAGGGGTATTGTAGGAGTTATTATTCTATGCAACACATTGTAAAAGGTGAAAATAACGAACAGTGATTAATCTCCTAAATCCAGTTATCAAAACGAATCGTTAACAGAGCAAACACACGGACCCATATGGAAACGCCAGCGGGAGAATTAGGTGCCTACGAGGAGTAAGCATCCCCTGTCGTTAGCCCCATGCATTCATCAGGAAGACGGAGCAACTCGAATTTACTCAAATTTAATGTACAAGCAATAACCTTAAAAAAAGTATCAATGACAAATGTCAGAAAAATACGACACAACGATAGGTTGTATTTCTAAAAGGTCATTATAACCACTGTAAAATTGCAAAAAGCATGTTGTTGAAATCATTGATTCACTAATTTATTTGTGAGTAACTTGCATCGGTTTTAAAATTGTTCGTATTCGGAACATCCTCGTGCATACGGTATGGAATCAGTTGGGAGACTTAAACACGGTTATGTATGTGATGTTAGAATATTGCCACATATATTAGGGAAGTTGACGTTGGAAAAGATGAAGTCATCTCGTTTGTCCTGCGGTTTAGTTGTTAGTTGGTCATTATCGTTTACTTAGTAAAACATCTAAATATGAAACAAATGGTGCAGACGCAGTAGTGTCTTTTATATCTGGTATATATAGAGTCAATATATAATGAAAATAATTATTGTTAATTGATAAAACGTTGTCAATATATCTAAATGTTAGTTAAAGCCAAATGTACAAATGTTGTTCCTTCTCATAAAGAAGTTTTTGAAGAAATATTACTTCATATAGATAAATAAAAAAAATGCCGGCAAATATAGGAGCACAATTACTGCCCATTAGAAATTCATTAAATGTAAGATATATTGCATGTGTGAAACCCTTTTATTTTTTTTAATTATAATATAGAACAACGACAGAGAGAGCGTATGTATGGATACAAACTCTACATTTCTAACAGTACAGACTTCAGTCTCCTACAAGAGGCTTACTTGTGTTACAATCATACAGGACCAGATTTACCCGATCTTAACGTTACACATGTATGTGTTTCGTTTGGACGATATGTAATTTTCTACAACGAAAGAGTTCCTGGTGTGACGTATCCAGGCAATCAGCAATATACATACTCACAACTGTGTGAAGTTATAGTACAAGGTATTTTTTTTCTTTTACAGATCACCTTAATATATTGCACTTGAAATAGACACATACCGGCTAATAAATTAAAAGGTGTTTTAAAGGTTGTCACAAAGATGATGTTTATGGGAATCTCTGTAATAAGAACTGTCCTTCAAACTGCCAAGAGAAAAGATGTTACATAACTAACGGAACTTGTGCTGGATGTACAGACGGTTGGATTGGTAAAAAGTGCCGTAATGGTGAGATTAAGAAAGTCATTTTCATTTTAGGAATTTCATTATTGTTTATGTTCATCATTCTGTTATGCATATGTTCGCCTTTAACTATGATGCCTTTAAAACTCATTTAAAATATCAATCCCCTTTACTACACCATATGAAGTTTATAAAATTTGGAAAGGATCGCATGTAAGAGAGCAAAAGGGAGAAGGTAAAGCACAAATGGTGAAAGCTGGACTGACGATACTGAGAATAATATCTACTCCTTGTATCAATGCAAATTACAAAAAATATTTTTTATTCAAATGTTAACAATGAATTTAATTTTAGCAAGAAAAATAATTGTGTTTTACGTAAAATCAATGGTGAAAGTGGAACATCTTCACAATAAATTTCCTATCCTAATTTTATAAACAAGTTGTAAATTCTAGGGGTTGTCGTGATGGATTTCGAGGAAATCGCTGCAGTGAACAAATTGTTGTTGGTATGGATGAAATAGTAATTTATCGTTAATATTTACATGTAATTTACACAAAGATACATTATAAGCCGATTATCTACGTACGAAAAGGTAATTGTTCCACATCAGGAACGTCTTTATAAATATGTATGTCAAACAACATTTTTGATATTTTAACTATGCTGAAGATAGAGGTTTCATGAATAAATAGTCGCATAATACCAGTGTGACTGACATTCTTATTTACAAAGTTTTTAATTTCTTAAAATTACTTATTTACTTAACAATAGATTTTACAAGCCAATGCACTGATCAACGAGACAATGTTGCTGGGTTGACAGCTGGTTTAGTTATTTCTTTCCTGATCAATATGGGATTTTTCTTTATAGTGCTTTACTTCATCAGGTATGTTTATTTTTTCCAGTGGAATCTCCAGGAGCTTATAAGTCAGTAATAGCTTATACATGTAGGGACATGTACACTTGCATTGTTGGTTTGATTAAAATTAAAAGTTTAATTTTTATTTCAAGATAGCTTCAATTTGATGATTTGAACTTAAAAAATCTTAATACTCAATGACTATGGCATTCTTCATAACGCTACAAAAGCTGTGTTTGGTTTCGGGAAGTATACTAGTTTCCCACAAAATTGATCAACGATCAACGAATTTGCAATTAAAAAAAGAAAGCTTTTACCTTACTAGTAGAACTTTTTTTACTATAGCAAATAAATTAATTTCAGGTCTATTATACTTTTATTCCATTTCTCAAATGCGATTTTTTAAATATCAAATAGAAGTATTACATGTTTACTCAAATAATCTTTCCAAAGTTATCATTATTAATGAGGACTTCGAGATAGATTGCTCTTAATTTTTAAATTATTTAGAGTGAAATTTTAATGTTAATGTATCTCCTAATGTAATCTATAGTTATCCGTAGTAAATGTGTTTTAAAAGATCCATCCAGAAAGATAGACTATTCATATTTATCAGAAATTATCAGACTCAACAACAAAGACGGCAGTAATCATCAGTATTTATCAGAAACAGCTAAAATTATCAGCAACAACAGTAATAATAACAGTAAATATCGGTATTTATCAGCAAGTGAAGATATGAGTAGTTTTTCTTTTCCTTTTTTGTTTCTTATATAATTAAAGTTTAAAATAAAATATTATATGAAAGTAAAACGAAGACATTTTTCATTGTAGGAAGAAAGAGAATAAGAAAGGAAATGACCAGCCTTCCTACGAGGTCAGTGATAGAGAGCCTTCCCAAGAAAGATCTGACGGCCACATTGAAAATCATACATACGAGGATCTGAATGCCACACGAACCACAGAAGCTCTTCAAGTTTATCGGAATCTCTCGCTCAATGACACCAGAACAAACTCTATATAAAACTTTTAATAAAAAAAACAACAACTGATACACCTTATTACTTTAAAAAAAAGAAATATTCTATAAGTTTGTGACTCTGACCTATTACTTCCATTTCTAGTGCCGGGGGTTTGGCGAAGGAACAATCCCTGTCAATTTTAACCCCTTAGGTTTGACTTTGACTTGAACGAGAATCGAACCAATTTCCAGAAATACCGTAAGTGCACAAAGACAAAACGTGTTACAGTGTATACTTTCCATTTGCAACGAAAAGTAGTAGTATTTTCTGATTTTATCATCAATCAATAACTACGATGAAGAAAAGGTATTTATAACTATTCAATATGTGTACGATTCAATCATTCTTCGTATGTCACTATAGCACCGCTTTTCTCCTCAAATAATAATTAACAGTACTAGTATTCATATACTCCGATTAACAAGCTGGGATGTAGCATTCAAATCGTTTTGTGGGGAATATTAACAAGCACCCATAGTACGTATATCCACCACAGTCTTCTGAATAGCACAAGAGGGTTTCTCAAACGCAATGCAGTTTTTATATTTACCCGGAGGCGAAAGAATCCCGATTGAAACTTAGTCTAAAGAAATTTAGGAGAATTTAAGAATGGAATACGAGGAATTTGATAAAATCGTGCTAACTGCTGAAAAAACACATGGAAGATACTTCACCAATAGTGGTACTCAATTAAAAAAAAAAAGATCCGTGAAAACAATAGTTCATAAATGTCTATGCATTTAGGCTGTTACGTGTGCAAAAGGGGAGCAAATATGTACAAGAAAGTAAATTATCAATCATGAATATCAAAACGGTAATAAAATTACAACATTTATCACGCCTTTCCTTGGTAGTAATGTTTTGCTTAGTAGCAATGTAAATCAAAGTACTGAAAGTACTGGGAAGCGCTAAGCAATGTTTACAATTTGACATTCATCAGAATTATTTTGAATTTAAATTGTGTATTGTATTGGAATAAGTAATATGTTGACAATGCAAACGCTAGGGGCGAGCACAGTTGTTTGATACACAATTATTTAAACCGCACGAGGATATATTTGAAGATTCGAGACTGTGACATCCCATGACGTCGTATATACGTTGCTATTTAAGGTATGTCACTCGTTAGCTTTTAAGAAAAGTTCAGTAATAACCTCGATCTCACTTCAAAACTATTTATTACAATTTCATTTTCTATAACATATTTGAATTATACAAATTATAAAACATTCAATTTAAAAACTGGCCATAAAATCATAAAGAACAAGATATGTGGGGGACTGTTTCTTGTGGTGGAAAGATATTTAATAGAAAGTTCTACAAATCTACAAAATCTAATATCTTGGAATGTTAGCCCTACATATTTTTACTCGGAGCATTTTCCCCGTTATCATACGCTAGGACTTTGAAATGCAGGTGTCAATTAATATTTTTGGAACAAATTTTACATGTTCACTCAACAGAATTTACCAAAAAATGAATATATATTTAAAAAGTCAAGATAAAATTCACACAGTTTTTTGCCTGAGCGTCAAATTTACTATCTCTCAGCAAATTCGATTAATGCAACTCAGTTACTTTTTTTTGTTTTTGAAGTTTAATTTATTTATGGCAAGAAAGAGCAATACCACAGTTATGGAAAAACTGTCTATTTGTGTTAAATTGCAATTCCGGAATTATTATAGAAAAAAGTTCATTTTGGAGCAATGTGCACAGTCCGAATTTTACTCTTCGTCTCGGCGTTCCTTTAAGAGCTAGTTTGCCGTTATGAGCAGCACTCGCTTCTAGTTTTCTTTTTCTTTAACATCATTAAATCTATGCAGATAGAACAAATCTGACCTCTCTAGGCTTTTCGTGTAATTCCGAGGCGCCTCTACATTTTGCGTTATTAGATATCGTCACATCCGTTGCTTTCAGTTTCAGTTTATTAGACTGAAACACTACAGCACTGTGATAATTTTAAATAATAAATTCATTTCGTGTTCATGAGTGTTTCAAAATGAAGATTTGCTGTTGGTGACATAGGCGCTTGGTTTCAGATGCATGGATGGTGTATTTTGTTTATTATGTGTTTTTCTAGGTGTGTCTGAATACACTCATTAAAATAAAAATCGAAGATCGCTGAAATTAGCACGTTTTAAAAATATCATATAACTGTATATAAAAAAGAACCAAGGTACAACAGTTGCCACCTTAGATTTCAGGGGGTGTCTCGGTTCACACTTGATTTTAATCAATATCTACACTTTTCATACCGTTGTCGGATGAGATCTAGCTTCAAAAATGATTGAATAACGCCCTTCAATCGTGTGCCGATTTGAACTGAAACCAAGCGCCTATGGTTAGCGACTGTCATTTTATTTGTTAGAAAATGTAAATGTTATTTCTTATTGCATACAATACTGCATATCGATAAAAAATCCTTATTGATAACATTTATTAAAGTTATGAATCAAAGATCTTTAAAATAACGAAAATAATATTCAGTCTGAATTGGTTTTTTTTTTTATCATATCTCAATTTATTCTCATATTCATAAGCGATTTATAAATTTACGATTTCATAGAAAGGATTTTACAAGAAGTACATTGAATGGAGTGTGTAAGTTATTTACACAATCGCCGGTATTAATTAATGATAAATAAGACTTAGACTATTACATTTTGTTTTGAATATGCTACAGCTGTGCCTTACACATTTTTAACACTTCACATTCATCGCGCTGTGCAACATATCGACATCAACATGTGACAAAATCTAGGAAATTAGCACCTGAAGAGTTTTCGTAGTTTTGTCAAAGATAATAGGTATATATACAATTTGAGTATAAGTATATTATATTTGTCTTCTTCGTTTGATGAAAAAACATTCAGTGCTATTCTTTAATCTTTGACTTTCATATACATGATTAATAATGTATTTGCGTCGAAAATTAGT